GAGGATCTGCGCCATCGCCTCGACGAGTTAAGAAGAAGGGTCGTTGGGGGAGAACCTTACACAGGCGACCTCCGGATACCTGAGCCTTTCACCCGGGCAGTGATGGATGCGCTGTTGCCAAGGGGTTACAAGCCTTGCACCATCGAAACATACAAGGGCACCTCTGACCCCCAACATCATGTATCTCGATACCTCTCCTACATGGTGATGATGGGGTATGAGGATGCCATCCGATGTCGCGGCTTCTCTGCCACCTTGGACGGCCAAGCTCGTGAGTGGCACGACTCTTTGCCTGATGGGAGTATCATGAACTTTCGCGAGTTGGCTCAGCGCTTTCTCATAAGGTTCGCGAGCTCCCGAGACGTCAAAAGGAACTTCAGCCACCTATTCGGCCTGAAACAGGGGAAGAAGGAATCATTGTCCGCCTTCTTAGCGAGGTGGAGGGCCGAGTCAATCAAGGTCCAGGGACTTGATGACAGGACCGGGGTGGCCATGCTCACAAACTCCATCCGGTCTGGTGAGCTTTACAAAGATTTCGTCAGAAGTCCCCCCACCACGTACGAAGAAGCACTCGGTCGTGCCGACCGCCAAGCCGAGGCGGAGGACGCCGTGCAGAAGAAGAGAGATGAAGAAGAAGGTGGGAAGGAAGAGAAGAAGAAGGAAGCTGGTTCTGGCGCTGAGAAAGCTGAAGGCAAGGCCGACAACAAAAACAAATACAAAGGTAACAAGAATAAAGGTAAGGGCAGGGCGGACGTCCCGAGCGGGCCGCTCTTGCCCGTCAAACAATTGTCCCCACTTGCTCAACCGGTCGGGGCCATCCTCGACTACGCGGAGGAGCAGGGACTGATCGACTTTCCGGAAGAATGCGATGTGGTGACCGCCAAGCATAACCACAACCAATATTGTCGATACCACCGGAGAGCAGGGCATGATACGGATGAATGCGTCATTCTCCGACGACAGATTGAAGAGCTCATCCAGAGGGGGTATCTGGGCCAGTTTGTGGGCAAGCAAGGGAACATCCCGCAGAAGAGGAGCCTAACGTGGCAGCGGTCTGACCAGGCTACCACGTCAAAGGAAAAGCAACCCGCCAAGAAGCGAGAGCTCGGCGCCCTTTCGGAGGATGATGAGGCCAACCTGGGGGATGGCTCCCGTAAGCACCATCGGTGCTCATACATCTTCGGGGGACCCCAGGGAGGTGATACCTCGGGAGAGCGGAAGTAATGGGCCCGAGCCCTATACATCGGGGAGATAACCAGGACTCCCGCCGACAAGAAGGTGAAGAGGGATCCCATCTTCTTCACTGATGCAGATTTACTGCCGATGCCGCCTCCGCACAGGGACACCTTGATGATCAAGATCGAGATCAACGACACTATCATCCATCGGGTCTTGGTAGACAATGGGAGCTCCGTTAACATCATGTACTATGATACCTTCCAGGGGCTCGGCTTGGACAGAAAGGACTTGAACCCGGTAAGAACCCCGCTCTCAGGCTTCACTGGGGACTCCATTGAATCGGAAGGCAGTATAGTCCTCCATGTGATAGTGGGCTCCGAGCCCTGCGTATCCAAGTTAAGTGTCGAATTCATAGTCGTACGCCTAACTTGTCCGCATAAGATCATCATGGGGAGGCCGGCCCTGGAGGACCTGAGGTGTGTGATATCCCAGGAGCACCTGTGCATGATGTTCCCCACTCCGAATGGTGTCGGAGTTACTAGGGGAGACCAGCGGATGGCTAGGAGCTGCTATCTAAAAGCTTGCAAGCAAATCGGCCAGAAGGACTTGAGAGTCCATACTATCAACAACAAGGCCATGAAGTATGAGGAGGGTCAGCTCCGTCCTGAACCCACCTCGGAAGTGGAGAAGATCCAGATTGACCCCGAGAAGTCAGAGCGGAAGGTCAAGATTGGAACCGGCCTCCCGACCGGCTTGAGGAAAAAAATCATCCGGGTCTTGATCCTCTTCAGCGTTGTCTTTGTGTGGGGGCTAGAGGACGTGCCCGGCCTCGACCGAAGCATCGCTGTCTACCGGTTGGCGGTCGACCCGTCGGCAAAACCCGTTCAGCAGAAGAGAAGACATCTCTCCATCGAGAGGAAGGAATTCATGAAGAAGGAGATCAACATGCTCCTGAGTATCAAACACATTCGGGAGGTCCTATACCCGGCGTTGCTGGCGAACGTGGTCCTAGCCCCAAAGCCGCCAACCTGGAGGATGTGTGTTGACTACACCGATCTCAACAAAGCATGTCCGATGGATCCATTCCGAAAATTGCACGCATTGAGGAGATAACAGCTTCGAGCATAGCAGCCTCACCGTCCGCCAACGTCCTCCCCCTGCAATCGGCCGCCTGGTGCTGGGTGGACGACCTCCTGCGTTACATAGCCGATGGGACGCTGTCAGATGAAGAAGTGGAAGCAAGGCTAGTCCGGCGACGAGCCCCGGGCTACGTCGTCTTAGATGGGAAGCTATACAAGAGGTCCTACAATGAGACCTTGCTAAATTGCCTACGCCCACATAAGGCGGACATGATCATCTCCGAACTCCATTGGGGCGTGTGCTCCGCCCACCACGGAGCATGCACAGTAGCTAGGAAGGTCGTCCTCCAGGGATACTTTTGGCCGACGATAATGAGGGATTGCGCCGACTATGCAAGGAGGTGTGAGACATGTCAGAAGTTTTAGAAGAGCCCCGGCCGGCCGGCAACGATGTACACGCCGATCAGCACCGCCCTTCCATTCACGAGATGGGGCATCGACCTGGTCAGTCCCTTGCCAACTGGGTCGGGAAACCGGAAGTTTGTAATCGTTGCGGTGGACTACTTTACGAATTGGGTTGAGGCCGAGCCGCTCGCAAGCATCACACATCTCCAGTGTAGGGAATTCATATGGAAGAATATTTTTTTCCGGTTCGGAGTTCCCCTCCAAATAATCTCCGACAACAAGAGGCAGTTTGACTGCGAGGCCTTCCGACAGTTTTGCGCAGAGTGGGGGGTGGAGTCCAGCCGAGTCGCTACCCACAAGCAAATGGACAAGTGGAGAACACCAACCGGAAGATCATTAATGGACTGCCTGAGTGGAAGAATTAAACAATATACTCTAGACCTTCAGGACGACCCCGAGGATGGCGACCGGGGAAACCCCTTTCGCCTTGTGTTGTGGCTTTGAGGCACGGGCGCCGTTTGAGGCTATAGTCCCTAATCGGCGAGTCGAAGACTTCGAACCAGCCGACAATGAGGAGAGGCTAAGATCCGAACCCCACCTCCTTGAGGAAAGAAGGTACCGAGCCTTCATCAAAGCAGAGAACTATCGATGCCAAGTCAAGGCATACCAGGACTGCCGAGACCAGCCGCGGAGCTTCGATGTGGGTGATTACGTCTTGAGGCGTAGGAAGGCCAGCAAGCCGACGGAGGGAGGTAAGCTTTCCGCCAAGTGGGAAGGCCCCTATGTGATTGACGATGTGGTCGGCCCCGGGACGTATAAATTGAAGACGACGACAGGTCGGCTAGTAGACCGTGTCTGGAACGCTGAGCACCTGATGAAGTTCCACCAATAAAGTAACGAAGTTTCACTTTTCTTTGTAAACTCCTGTGCTCCGAGCATGGGGTTACGATTTGCAATTCTTCATGTGGTCCGCCCACATCATGAATTCAATATACTTTGCTAGCGATATTTTGTTTTCAAAAGAGGTCCGACCTCACTTAGCAATTAAGGGCGGCGGCAAAAAAAAAAAAGAAAAAAAAAGGAAAAAAAAAAGAAAAAAAAAGGAGTATTATGCCCCCCTCGGTGTTTGGCCGACCTCGGTCAGGCTCTTGAACTGAAAATAGCCAAGCGATTTTTGAAAATCCAAGCTATTTTCTAAAGTAAAGAGTTAACCGCGACAGTCGAGGCGACAGTAGGGCTGACCTCCGGGTCGAGAGCGCTCAAGAGGCCGACCTCTGGGTCCATCTGAGTGTTCGCCTCCCGACGTTGCTGGTCAAGCAGCTCGCACTCTCGCCATCCCCGAGTTGGCGGTGCGGGTCCGTTCTGGTGGATCGCGCAGGGTCCGCCCCTGTTGTTTGGCTAACCTCGCGGGAGTAACCAGATTATTCCCCAAGTCCGAACAAACTGGACGGGTTAAAGCGACAGTAGGACTGACCCCCGAGTCATGACGTTCGGGGTGCCGACCTAAGTGTCCACCTCGAAAGTTCAATGTCTGACCTTGCTGGCCGAACAAGTTGCATACTTGCTGATTCCATATCAACAGCGAACAGATCACTTCTATCCAACTGGGAGGGGCACGGATAGGCTCGGCCACGCCAGCCAAACCACCCCCCTGGGAAGTTAGAGAAGCCGGATCCCCGAATAAATTGCCTAAGTGTTCGTGATGCAAAGTATAGAAAAAGAAACATATGGATTAAAATTAAACATCCACTCAAAATTACATCTCTCAACTTCAAGCTACAAAAAGAAAAGTAAAATGTCATGGCAGGGGACCATCAGGAACCGAAAGAAGCTCCCTCAAATTTGAACTCCAATTTCGTCCTCTAGAATTGGCTCTCTACCTGCCTTCGTGGAGAAGACCCCAATTGATCATACTTGAAGGCGAACGAGATGAAGCTCTCAAGGATTCCACGTGGCAATCTTGGCCCTATCGACCTCATGTTGAAATTTTCCAGCAGAAGACCAATGCCCCAATGTGCTCCAACCATCTTGGATGGACCCTGCAAAACGATGACGAACCATCATCAGAAAATCACGAGAATCAAGTCAATGATCTGCTGATCGGTTGAATCACCACTACCGACTCATCTTGGGGGAGCGGCAAGCCGACCCATCACCAGTACAGGCTGCCTATGTGCCTGCCGAACTCGAGGTTTCCGTCGAACCTCACGCTGCCATCATAAGTGCTAGCTCACAGCCCATGGAGGTCATCCGACACATTGATCCACACGAGCAAAAGGTAGTGGAAGACACCGAGTTGAGGTTTACAGTTTGCACTCATCTCATCACTCATGATTTGGGAATTTTAGGAGCAACCTGTTTTCAGCCATCCCACGAGGGGACTTCTTCTCAACATGGCCGACTTGGCTACGGGGCTGCCGTATCACAATTAGCAATATCAGACTGTCTAAATTCGGCCATTGGCTTAAGAGGGAATCAAGCAGCAGAAGGTTACTCACAGTCATCCAACTTCAGGGATCCGTAGCTAACCTGTCCGGCTGACCAGAGGTACATCCACCGACCTGGGAAATTGCGCCGCTGACCAGGGTTACCGACCTACAGCCTGTCGGATTCGAGGCTCACCGGACAACGCGAAAGACAAGGAAGGACGTCAGCTGGTTGCTGTCGGCCGTAAAGCTTCTCACAGTACAGGAGCCATTGCACCGCCCAGCCGCCTGGCCGCCTAGCCGCCTGGCCGCCTAGCCGCCTGGCCGCCTAGCCGCCGGGCCGCCTAGCCACCTGACCGCCTAGCCGCCTGGCCGCCTGGCAAGCCCGGCCGCTGTCAGTGGAATAGCAAATCTAGAGTGCGCTGTACGTCCACCTGGAAGGAGAAGTGATGCAAGGGCACTGGATGCCACATTCAATACTATACCTCCACGAGATCTTACAGCTGCCGACAAAGTTCTCCACAAATATGTTTTTCCGGTACCACCATGACCATACACAAAGTAGATGCCGCCGTGATTTCCATTGATTGAAGCAATGAGTATGTCATAAACCTTGCGTTGTTCTTCAGTCATGTCTAGCAACAACTTGGAATGCTCCTCAGATAAAGCATCAACATCATACCTCATCTCTTCATGTATGAGGTTGTGTTCAAGAGAATCGATTTGAGAAACGGAAGGAAAAGGCATGTTTGCATAGTTGCGCAGAGACTTCCCTTTTTGTTGGAGAAGTTTTTCAACTTCTAGAAGAGCATAATTTTTAATTTGAGCTGCACTTAAATCCAACTCTGCAAGGCAATCAAATGATTTAGAATTTGATTTTAGTAGCTTGTTAAAAATAAGAATAAAATAGTACCAATAGTTATGCTTACCTTGATCATTGAGGTTCCTTCTTATGTTGTATAGTACATCATCTGATAAATCCTCCCAGCATTGCTCCCACACCAATTCCGGCTTTGAAAGTTCATCTGACGTCAGCAGGGTAACAAATAACTCACGGAGAGCGTGTGCAGATCCCCAATGACTTACTTGTTTAATGCAACCAATGTGATCTTTGTCATCCTGGAGCAAACCTCTTGCATAGCAAGCATCCTTGAATGTGGCATGAATAGTACCATTAACGGTCTTCAATTCCTCAAAACTGGTCGGTCCTCTAACCACATTGAGAAGCATTCTAAGGTAGTACTTCTCGCCTATGCCTGGACGAACAAAATAGAGTCTCCCAACTGCAAATCTCTTTTTCCTCGGTACCCACGTTTTTGATGTTTTTTTCCACGTGAATTTAGTAGGAAACTCAGAATATGTCAATAACTTGGCCTCGGGGTACATTTCATTTGCCTTCATCCAGGCTGTGAATTTGGTTGAGAGAACAGTAGCACGATTCAACACTGTGGCCGTGGATTCCCTTTCATTATAGAACACATTATGTTCTCCTGGGAGATGGAAGCTCAGTCGCTCAACTGCAATATCCCTATAATGAATAGGGAACCCAAAAATCCTCCAAGCAGCCTCACATGCTGAGACATATCGGCAGTTATAATACATCTTAATCTCATCAACTATTTGAGATTTATTACTATCAGCATTCTCAGAGAATGCAACTGTTATCCTATCATTGCCCTTGTTTATATATTTGAAGAGATACTTTATTGAACGTGTCTGATTACACCATTCAACATTGATGTGGGCACCATACTTAAGTAATAACATGCGGTTATGCGGAATAACGAACCTATTGTCAAGAAGAATGTCGCCTTTTGCCACAGTTCTACCATTCTGTCTTCTTCTATAGATTGGAAAACCGCTTTTATCGATGGTCGTTTGTTGTACAAACTTCTTCGGAAAGTATTTTGTGCAACGGTTCCCAACCATGCATGGCGATTTTTTGTTCAACAATCCACATGGGCCATGTATCATCAGCTCCTTCACCATGGTGTAATACTCTGGGTCACGTCTCTCATCCGGGATCTCGGCTGAAATTATCTTATCGATATATGTGGCCAAGACATATTTTTCTTTTTCATAAACCCACAATACTATATGTGCATGTGGCAGGCCTCGCTTTTGAAACTCCACTGTGTAAATGACTTTTACATGCATAAAAAAAATACGATTTAAGAGATTTTTCAAAATAGTACATGTAATATTTTATGAAGATTTGTAGATTAAAATATTAATTAAGAATAGAAAAATATGTAATCTAAATAATACCTGCTTTCACTTCTCCAAATAACTTATTTTGTTTTAAATCCTTGATGAGTTGGTTGAGCTTAATTTTGAATATCCTACATAGGATATCGGGTCTATCATCTGGATTCAGCCCTCTTTCCCTGACGTAGCGTACAATCTCAGGCCACTTAGGGTTGCATGTAAATGTGATGAAAAGTTGTGGATATCCAGCCCACTTACAAATTGCCATCGCGTCCTGGTAGTTCTGGATCATGTTACGTGCACTACCTATGAACGAATTTGGTAGTACAATGAGCTGCCCTAGCCTAGATGTATTTGTTTCACCACGTCCAAGTGCATCAGCTAATCCACTGTACAACTCACTTCTCAACTGCTTTTGATTTTGTCTAATATAGGATAGACGTGATGACTCGATCATCGTATAGCCATCAACCATAAACTGCTGAAACAATCGTTTGCATCTCAAAATGTAAGGGGATTCATTGTTACGCTCTTGAAGCCTGTATGAAAAGAACTCTTTCATGGTAACATGCTTTCTTCCATCTGTTGGACGTGTTAAGAGAACATTTTTTCGAAACCCATCCTGGCCATATGGAAATAAAAGTGGATATTGCAAGCCAAGAAAAGAGGGATTCAACTCTGAAATAAACTGTAAGTCACCAGACTTCGTCTCAATAAGCACATCCCTCTCCTGTTTATTAATGTCGAAGTCCCCCTCAATTAGTGCTGCAACCTCATGTACATTTGAAGTATTATATGTACGTCCATCTGAATTTCTCTTTCCAATTAGCTTCATTTTCAATGACGTGCAATTTGTGTCATTGAATCTATCCCTCGCCATCCTGAATGATTTTGCATGAACATTATAGGTGTCAAGCATATCTCTCAAGTCTGACACGAGTGTTTCATGTAATTGGGTTCCACCTTCACCCCTATATTTTTGACACAAAAAGTAAAGTAAATTAAACTTTTGCAATGCAAACATAGAAGCAATGTATAATTGATTTAGCAAGTCTCATTTAATTACCTCACCGATTGCACTCGGTATGAAATCTCTTCATGTGGGTCTGATAAGTACATTTGCAAGAATTTAGGTTGTTTCCCATCAACCGGTAAAAGACTACCAATCCTATGATAGTTTTGCCCATTCAACCTAAACACTCGAGGTGCTCTTCCATCATTTATTTGTGTATCTATTTTTCCACCCATTGAAGTGAATGAGAACATGGAGTTATAAGAACGAATGTTCTCTAGAAAATGCCTACTACGCTCATCAAGTCCGAATATCAATCCTTCTAATAAACATGGATGTTCTTTCATAGGAGGGAGGACAACATTCCCTTTATTACAACACATGGTGAAAATTGGTCTGTGAGAAGCAGTTGTTTTTGCTAACTTTTCAGCATGCCAAAATATTGCATCACAGAATTCACATGTAAAAGTAGCATCACCAAGATCTAGAAACGCTGTAACATAGTAGATACTTTTAGTGACTTTATAAAGTTAAATACAATGAGTTAGTACATAATTCCACACTCATAAGTAAATAAGAAAAAACTCATTCAGTTAATACTACTAACAAATAATTAGCATTACAAAGTTAGGTCTTAAAGGTGAGTGCAACAAATAAGAGTAGTGACATGTTTTAAAATGATTGGAATCCTATTTTAGTTTCATTGATTAGTAAAAAATGATTATTTTACTTCGTAATTAGTAAAACGTAAAATTGAGTGAATTACTTATGACACATATAATTAACTGGCACAGTCGTATACACTTATACATCATTTTTCTTCTATAATACATCTATAGAATATGTCCATGAATAAATAGATATTTTAAATTGATTTAGTAGCTTTCACATTTATATAAGTAATCAAGCTTAGAAAGTAAATATGTGATGTCTATTGAATTTTTTACAAAGAACTATTAGTGTAAGTCTGATTTATATATAATTTGAAAAAATCAAAATATATAATCAAAAGAAATGTAGCAGGAAAAAATCTGTCATAATGACTATTACTGTATTCAAATGTCACATCATAGTGAATATGTTTTTTACATGCAGTAACTTATATATATTCAACTTTTATCCATTGATTTTTATTAGTAATGTTTTAGGAGTAACCTCCTTGAAGTTTTATAAAATATTTGAATGTAAATACTAATAAATACAACTTAAGTGTGTCTGTAAATGTATATAGGAATCGTAAATAATATAAATAAATTAAATAATATTTATCCACTACTTTTACATTTTAATCCACTTCGTGTCAGTAAAAGTTACTAATTTATGTTTTTATCCACTATTTTTATTTTAATGTAATTACATTTGAGACCTATATTTCTTTATTTTTACACGAATAATGTTACATTTGTACTCATGTAATCCAATCAAGTTTAAGAAACTTGATGATAGGAAATTATAAAAAGTTACACTCATAAAAACACTATATAATGTGAAGAGATTAATAACACAAGGTCCAAATCATTGAGATTGTGTGGGATTCCTGAATCAATAATAATTCAATAAGAGAAGTTGTGCATTAAAATTTAAATGAATAATAAATTTTTTAATGTAGCTATAAGTATTTATTTTATTAGATACAATTAACTTCAGTAGTCAACAATCTCATATTTATCCAATAAATAGTAATATGTACCCCCTCTGTCTCATAGAGAGATTTCCATTTTCCTGTTTGGACGACCCATAAGGAGGTTCTCTTTTTCATGTTAGGGAAAAATTACAAATCTAAAATGACAAATTGAATATTAAATATTAAAAAAACTACATTTACAACATAAAAGTTATCAACATCAACCTCATTATATTATAAACCTATTGAAATTATTTCTTAAAACATACTCCAACTACTTTATTTAATTCTGGTTTGAATAACTACATCATTGTGCCATGAGAGAATTTCAAAGGGACCCAAATAGTATAAATTAAGTTTATAAGAAGTGACATTTTAAACTGATACAGTAACGTATATAAAATAATTTTTTTTGGATAGGTCTACATTTTTTTAAACTGATAATGTTTTAATTGATTGATACTCAATGGAGTTCATTAGAGACATAAGTTGGTTAGAGAAATATGTAGTAGTGTATAAAAAATTAATTTGTAATGTGCATGGTCAAACCTATGTAATTAAATATGTATATATTAAATGTACGTAGTAGTGTATAAAAAGTTGGAAGTAAATTTGGTATTACTGATTTCACTTTAAAATGAAGCCATGTACTATGTAAAAGATGGTGGCACCTTTATGTGAGCCTGCTTCATATTCAAAATCTTCATCTGCGTATAAATAAGATAAATAAACGGTATATTAATATAGTTATATGAAGTTTTAGAGATAAAAGATGTAATTGCGGCATCATTTGGTCACATACCTTCATATCCTATCACATCTTCATCACTTTCAAAATGATTTTCAAGTGTATCATCAATTTGAGCCTCTATATAAAAAAATAACAACAAATCCTTGAAGTATACATAACTACTTAAATAGATGGCTGACATGGTAATATAATTGGAATAAATTAAAGTACGTCGTACCCACTGTACTTGTATGACCATCCGGAAATTCTGGAATCAAATTATTCGTGTGAATAATTTCCATTGTTGTTTCAGGGAGGCTTAGCTCACGTATCATGTCATCGATATCATTGTCATGAGTAGTAATTACCGGTTGACCTCCAGCGGTGTCATGTAACGATGAGCTTGTTGATGTAATAACTACGATATAAATTATCACATATTATACATTTATCATGGTGTTATGATTTATTAAGTATTTGGACTGTGTCAAGGTACTAAGGTAGTTACCATTAGTAATATCAACAAATGGATTTGTAGGCCAGTTGTGTTTCGAAGAAGGTGTTGTACCATCACACAACTTGGCTCTCTTAGAAGCAGCAGATCCATTTATTAATTGGTCTCTATTTCCATCAAGAGGATGTGCTCTTCCACGATAAATGATAGCTGATTTAGTTAGTTTTTGCATTATATCCTTGCCCTGTATGAAAGTACGTAATAAGTCATTAAATCTAAACGTGTTAAAAAGGTTTAAAATTTTCTTTGAAATTGAAGAGAACAAATGTCCATTTTTATTTTTTATTTTTTTGGCCATAAAACCATTAAATTTTTAAGAGATTTAGAAGACCCAATTTTTGGGATTAATTTTATGTTGCTAGAGAGAAATGATGATACTGCGTGAAATTTGGTACTACATACTCCCTCCGTCCCGCTATGAATCTCCCATTTTACCTTTTTGGTCCGTCCCACTAAGATTGTCTCATACCTTATTAGGTAAAATTTGTGTGGTTCTAAATCATTCTTACTTTATTCTTACTTTATCAATTCAATATCAACCACATAAACCCACTTTTATTAATAACCGTGCCACCTTCTCTTGTCCCAAACTTAGGGGGACGGAGGTAGTATATAATAAGATTATAGATGTTTATTACACAGTTGAAGTAAATTAATGTATAGCTAGGCAATCAAAGTCTATCAACGAATGATTTAATTAATAGTTTAAAGACGTATGGAAATATAGTGACATATTATATACTCCGTATATTCTATTAAAGTATACTACGTATACTTTATATACTACGTATGAGAGAAGGTTTAGAAATATCTGACATGTTATATTCTATAAAGGCTAATTTATGAGTTGAAAAATGAAATTGAACATAAAAGCAAAGGTACGTTGATGTGTTTTAATTGTTATATTGCTTAGTATATATAACCACAAAGGGTAATACAACATTATTGTTTGAGTATGTTCATAGATTTAGTTTTTTTTAAGACTAATTTTTTTTAGAAAATGGATTTCATGGTAACAACGATACTTACAACAACGATGCCGCAGATTTCATGGCAATTGAGCTGACCCGGCCACAAAACTTCAGCATCTGCCAACCAAATGATTTGGACACGCTCCTATCCTCGTTAATTCCCAATATTCAGCCACAACATCATATAAGTCCTAGTGAGCCAAGTAGTGTACATATAATACATAACGTAACAATAACCAAAATTTAGTGTGTAGGAACAAATTATCAAAATTATATTATCAAAAGCTTTAATTGTTTGGAGACATACATGAAAGTATTGAGATATTTTTTAAGATGAGGACACCAATAAAAATGTATACAGGATGATTTGATAAGTGTGTTCATTTATTAATTGGTCTCAATTTCCATCTAGAGGATGCGCTCTTCCACGATAAATGATAGCCGATTTGGTTAGTTTTTGCATTATATCCTTGCCCTATATGAAAGTAAGTAATAAGTCATTAAATCTAAAAATGTTAAAAAAGTTTGAAAATTTCTTTGAAATTGAGAAAACAAATGTCCATTATTTTTATTTTTTTCGCCATAAAACCATTAAATTCTTAAGAGATTTAGAAGACCCAATTTTGGGATTAATTTTATGTTGCTGGAGACAAATGATGCTACATACGGAGTATATAATAAGATTATAAATGTTTATTACACAGTTGAAGTAAACGTATAGCTAGAAAATCAAAGTCTATCAACGAAAGCTTTAATTAATAGTTTAGAGACATATGAAAATATAGTGACATATTACATACTCCGTATATAATAACGATTTCATGGCAACAACGATACTTACAACAACGATGTCGCAGATTTCATGGCAATTGAGCTGATCCGGCCACAAAACTTTGGCATCTGCCAACCTAATGATTTGGACACGCTCCTATCCTCCTTAATTCCCAATATTGAACCGCATCATCATATAAGTCCTAGTGAGCCAAGTAGTGTACATATAATACATAACGTAACAACCAAAATTTAGTGAGTAAGAAAAATTTGTCAAAATTATATATATTCATGCTACATAACATCATCTACTTAAAGTATATCATTGAAAGCATTAATAGTTTGGAGACATACATGAAAGTATAGTAATACTTTTGAAGATGAGGACACATAAAAAAATTTGTATACAGAATTATTTGATAAGTGTGTTCATTGAGTAGAAAATAAGAACAAAATTGATGTCTTTTTATAGTTCTTAGTATCATCGATCACATATGATAATATAGAATTATAGTTTACGTATGTTCATAGTGATTTATTTATTATCATATCATTTTTACTATACTTACAACAACATTTTACGTTGTTGATTTCATGACAAATGAGCCAATTTATGAAGAAAAATTTAGCATCCAGGCCACCAAACAAATTATCTGTACACTAAACTGCTATCCTACTTAGTGCATAATATTTAGCCACATCATCAGTTAAGTCCTACTTAGGCAAGTAGCATACATATAATACATAAATGAACAAAAATTTGGTTACTAAGTAAAATTTACAAAAATAAATAATTATTCCTACTACTAAGTAGCATTTTAGTTTCTTAAATAAATAATGTTTTTTGTTCCGGGTCGGGCTTAAATTTTAGAACCCGAATTAAAGTCCAAGTTTTGGGCTCGAGCCGGGTATTTAACACGGACCTGTCATCTTTAAGATATAACCCGAAAATATTACTCTCCAGATTTTATCACCATTGAATTTAAAAGCCGAATATAAAGTTTTAAGGGACGGATGTAGCAATAGTCTAAATTCTTTATGTTGAAAAGCAACGTATTTTATCTTGAAAACATAAGAAATGTACCATAATTTATGAATAGTAATTAGACTCGGTGAATACTAAGTATAGATAATATAGTTGGGGTGGGATCGAGTCAAGTTCGGTCGGGTTATGGCTAGGACCGTAAAAACAGTAATTTTTCGGGTTCTTCATTTTTGTGCCCGTTCGGAGGATCATTACGCTCAGGCTTGTTTGAGTTTTAATGGCCTCTAGTTTGGGTTGGGTTAGAGTCGGGTGGTGTTGAATGGGTCGGTTATCGAGTTTTAGGTCAGTTTTTTCCCACCTCTAAATATAGATGTTTCGAGATCAGGCAAAAAAAAAGTTCTTACCAGGGTGAACTTAAACGAATCATAACACAAATTATGGGATGAAATGAATCATTATGTCTTGTATTCTACCTGTGGAAAAAATAGTATGATTTAAATTGAACATAACATTACCTCGGTAGGATGTAGATTGGGGCAAATATGAAAGTCCAGAACTCCACACTTGGAGGTGGATTAAAAACATCCTACATGTGGACAGTAATATCCAAGTAACATATACAATACTATATAATACATAACAATAACAAAAAAGCATACAAAGAATAGCATAATAAGCCATTTGTGTGAAACTATTTACTACTATATAATAGAAGAACGATGTATTTGTAAGTATGATAGAGGTTTTCATATGACCTTACCATTTGAACATATCCGGGAAATGAAATTAATAAAACAACACAGTACCTTTGTACATGGAGTGAAGTATGAAATTGGAGAACATCAAATACTGAGCAAGTTTAAAAACATCCTACAGCAAATCAAGAATCAAGAATAGGAAAATAAAGTTGAATTTGAGCTGAAATGTAAAGATGAAAGGAAAAGTAGTTGTCCTTTTATAGTACTTAGTAAGGGCAGATAATACGGAATTACTCTATATTATTATTATTATTTAATATATATTATTATTTAATGTATATTACTCATTGATTTCATTTCACTTCAAATATCATATATCATATATCATATATCATAATAATACGCAAATCAGTTTGTGATTATATTATTGATAGTCCGTAATTAATTTGAGTGACCATAAAAGTGGCGTTGATATGATGAATATGATGTTTTATTGTTTTGGAAACAATCACCGAACATGATTCTTTGGTTGTTGCTATGACACTCACAAAATCTGTACCAATTCCATATACTCTGTATTCCATATAAGCTTTCTCCTGACAAAGTTCCTATAATTCAGCCTCACCATAATAAATAGTTTATCATTATTTAACATCATTATTTAGTATTATTTAGCAATTACCATGAGTGATTGTGAAAAAGTAACGTACATAGGTATTGATGGTACAATTAAAGAATTTTGATAATTAAGAGATATATTTGACAAAAATAATACTACGTACTACTTTGATCCCTTTAACTTCGATTAAGAGGGAAAAGTGTGGTTATTATAAAAAGTGTCACCGATATTGAATTGGTAAAGTGTAAATAAATTATTAAGATAAGTTTGATAAGGTCAGAGTTATTTTTATGGTTGAATTGTTGGAATTTAGGATGTTTTTACTTGAACCGAAATTTGCTCGTTTGGTCTGGTCTGGGTTGTTTAACTCTGGTATGGTATGGTCTGAACTGGCGTGGTATAGTAAATGTTTGATCTTTGTGTATTTTATAACTATGGAAGTCCGGTCTTGTCTGTTTAAGACCGGTCTGATCTGTTTAAGTTTGATTGATTTTGTCTATATTTCATATAATTATTTCTTTATTTTTTGCCTCAAAATTATTTTAACCGTATGTTTTGTATACCTTAGCAGGTTCAACCAATTTACCGCTTCATCTGCTTAAGCCGATTAAGCCAATTTTACTATTACCGAATGGGTTATTATAAGTAAAATATCATGAATGCCGGAAGAATCACCGCCGCCGGGAGGTGGAAACCTTTGGGCTCGCAAATCATTCGCCGATGTTGTTGCAGATCGTTCCAACACTTTGAAGCCAGAGAAAGCCAGGTTCAAGGGAATGCCGTCGATCTCCTTTTCTGATGGAGATAGTCGGAATCTCGAAGACAAACACAAACGGGCGTTGGTTGGATATTTTTTCAAAGGTAAACCGAGCTTATTGATCATCCGCAAAGCTTTTGAAATCATTGGGTTTAAGGGTCCTTTTCAATTGGGTATCCTCGATACAAAACATGTTTTAATTCGTTTTGAGAAGGAAGAAGACTACATTCGATGTTGGACTAGGCAGAACTGGATCCTTCAAGGTCATGTGATGAGGGTTACTAAATGGTCTCCGGAGTTCCAACCTAATGTTGAATCTCCGATTGTGCCAATTTGGGTTGCTTTTGAGGGGCTTCCAATTCATCTTCAAGACAAATCCGCCCTCTTTGAGATTGCTTCATTAATAGGAACGCCTCTTAAACTTGATGAAGCTACAGCTACCCTATCTAGGCCTGCAGTGGCTCGGGTCTATATGGAAGTTGATCTCACTAAGGAGATGCCTACTAGGGTGTGGATCAATTGTGGCAAACTGGGATTTGCCCAATCTATTATATATGAAAAAAGGCCAGAGTATTGCTCTGATTGTCTCCATTTAGGTCATTCTCACTCTAAATGCCCTAAAAGACAGCCAGAACAGTCTAAGGCTATTGTTATACACAAGGAACAATGGGTTCAGAAAAAAGACATATCCACCTCTGAGAAATTTACACGAAAAGATAAAGGCAAAGACAAGATTGTCCATCAGCCTGATTTTAATAAGCAATCAACGTCTAAGGGTACCCAGGCAGACAGAGATATGGTTGTTCATGACACGGTTATTGCAGAAATTGGTACTGCAGTTCCATCTGCAACAGTGGGTCATGAAGAAACGTTGGATGTCCCAAGTTCAGAGAAAGAGAAGACTGCGGTAGAGGAGGTTCTTTCTGATAGTGATAGTGGTGTTGAGGAAGTATTCACTGAAGAGCAGCCTGCAACAAAGGAGGAAACCATTAAGGATGTTCTATCATTGTTAGCAACTGAGATTCCGAGAGTAAAAAAGTCAGGCCCTAAGGAGATTATAGGAATTCAGGATGACACTATTCAGGGATTGCTTAATTCCAGATCTTATGTCATTGCCAGAGACTGTTATTCAGATGGAGAAGAAGACCAGCCTGTGGATGTGGAAACGCTGGGGTCAGATTGGACTGAAATTAGTAAAGGAGTAGAGGCCATTGTTAAATTGAAATCCCAAAATCAGCTTACCAATTCAGAGCACCTAGAGGAACCAGATTGCCAGAGGAACAGCAAATTGGATTTTCTGGTATCTCAGGTTCAGCCTTGCAGTTCTGACCTCCAGGGAGAACCTGTTAATCAGACAATGAATAGGCAGGACAACTCAGAAAGTCAATCTGGTGGAATTAAAGAAGGGGATGATCAAATTAATATCACAGGGAAAGCAGCTAAAAAATAAACTAGTACAGAAATTGTTCATAAAAGGAACACCAGAAGTGCAGCTAGGGGGTACTATGTTGTTTCCTAATGAATTGCTTATTTTGGAATACTAGGGGTCTAGAATCCTCCAGTTCTAGACTAAGTTCCCTAATTTTACAATGGAGGTTACACTTAATCATTATTATTGAGCCAATTGTGGCTTCAAATAGGATTGATGCCTATAAGAATAGTTTGGGTTTTGATAGAGCTGTTAACTCACCAATTTCAAAAATTTGGATTTTTTGGGATTCTGCTAAATTGGAGATTTCTGATCTTATCTGGCATGAACAATTTGTTCATTTCAAGGTTACTAGTTCCTCTTTCGAAGGCTGGATTTCTGGTATTTATGGGGGACATACTTACATAGATAGGAGAGATTTATGGGATGGTCTCACTACTTTTTGTGCTAATCTGAGGGAGCCTTGGATGGTGGGGGGTGATTTTAATGCCATTGCTAGTTATGGTGAGCACAAAGGAAACTCCCTGCCTTTGGTTCACGATGTCAATGAATTTGCTGATTGCATTGCAGCTTGTAGTTTGGTGGATCTCCCCTGCTCAGGACCTAAATACACTTGGACAGGAAATAGAGCAAATGGCAGGGTTTGGAGAAGGTTAGATAGAGTTTTATTTAACAATCACTTTCTGGACAGCTTTGATAATATTGGGGTATCTCTGTTGAATAAAACGCCCTCTGATCACAATCCTATTCTCATTCAATGCTTGAATGTTGGTTATTCTGTGCCAAAAGGTTTTAAATTTCAAAATATGTGGTTGAGCAATTCTTCTTTTATGGAGTTAGTGAAATCCAAATGGGGTTGTGTTGGACATCAAGGGGTGATGTGAGTTTTCTCGCACTTAAAATAGTTGTAGAAAAGTGGTTGAAAGTACGAGTATCGTCTCCACAGGGACGGACAAAAGGGAAATAAAGATTAACTAAACTTAGCGATTAAAAAGAAATAAATAAAATAAAAGTGCAATTGTGCGAGATTGGTTGATTGATTGAAAATAAAACTAATGCTATTGAGCGAATAAAAAGATTTGGTTTTCCTTAATTAACGACTAAGGGAACAAGAATTGATTCCGGGGTTAACCAGATTTCTGGCAGAACAGGCCTAATCACATGAATTTAATTTAATTGAGCCTAGCTAATCATTACTAAGTTCTTACCGCTCTCGCGGCGTAGAGTACAATAATTTAGGGGACCAGGCTGATCTCTCATGCGACAGGATCCTAAATTATTGCCAAGACGAGCGAGCTTACGGCCCCTTAATCGCTACTAATCTCTTAGCGAACGATTAAGTGTGTGTGAATGTGTCCTAGAACAAATTAGATCTCTCTTAATTCATTCTACATGCAATTGTAATTCTAGCTGCAGTCTAGGTTACAAGAGATATCAATTAAATTATTCAAACACAAATTAAACGGCATTCATGCAATTAAACCGACAAGAATCTAGCCATACATCATGATTAACCCCTTCATCAACCCCAAATCCCTAATTAAACTACTCACAATTCATAATTGAAGAATCAACAGAATTGAGATGAATAGAATAAATTGTCATTAATCAAAAAGATGAACTTACAAATAATCCCAGGGTCTTAGAGTAAACAATCGTAAAAACGCAAGTAAATTCGTCCCTAGGCCTCTCCGTAATGTTCGTAACCCCCAAAACGGGGTTATGGAGGCCTTATTTATAGAAAACAACGAATTCCGGGTCGAATTAGGATCAATCGCGGCCAGGCACGGTGCCAGGCACGACCGTGCCTGCGACCGTGCCTACGGAAGGAATCCATTTTTTCGCGTCCAGGCACGGCGTGCCTAGCTGCCAGGCACGACCGTGCCTGGCCTCCAGTAGCTCGTTTCCTTGAAATATGCCAGGCACGGCGTGCCTAGCTGCCAGGCACGACCGTGCCTGGCCTCCAGTAGCTCGCAGGATAATTTCGCATCAGGCACGGCGTGCCTATCTGCCAGGCACGGCGTGCCTGACCCTATTCTTCACTTTTCCTTCGTTTTCTTGCTCCGAATGCT